CCCTGTCTCCCTAGCTGGCTTTAACATTTTTTCTTTCATTTCAACCTTGAAGAATCTGATGACTATGTCTTGGAGATATGGTGTCTTTGGGATGGTCACTTCATATAGTATCTCGCAGGGGTTCTCTGCATTTCCTGAATTTGAATGTTGTCTTCCCCAGTGAGGCTGGGGAAATTTTTGTGAATAATATCCTCAAATATGTTTTCCAAGTTGCTTGCCTTCTCTCCCTCTCTTTCAAGAACACCAATGAGTAGTTGATTTGTTCTTTTTACATAATAATTTTTCTTTATTGTTTTTTCTTTATTTTTGTCTGACTGAATTTTATTGAAGAACTGGTCTTTGAGCTGAGACTCTTTCCTCAGCTTGCATTTGTATTATGAAATTCTTAAAATGAATGATTCAGCTCTATCAGATCAGTTTGATTATTTCTTTAAATGGCCATTTTGTCTTTTATCTCTTGCATCATTTTGCTGTATTCCTTAGATTCCTTGGATTGGGTTTTGACTTTCTCTTGGATGTTGATGATCTTTGTTTCTATGCATATTCTGAATTCTAATTCTGTCATTTTGAACAGGTTAAGAACCATTGCTAGGATGCTAGTGTGGTCTTTGGAGGTAAGAAGATACTCTGGCTTTTTGAGTTGCCAGAGTTCTTGCATTGTTTCTTTCTCATCTGTGTGGGCTGATGCTCCTTTAATCTTTGAAGTTGCTGTCCTTCGGATGAGTTTTTGTTTTGTTTTATGTTTTATGTTCTTTGATGTCCTTGGGGGACATCTGATTTTGGTACAAGGTGGGTTCAGTTGACTGGGTTCCCATCTGGAAGATTTTAAGGGCTCAAGGCTCAGCTTAGCACTCCTGGTCTGCATGCTCTAACTCTGCAGGACTGGTATCAGGCCCTTTGTTCTCTTGCCCCTCAAGGCTAGGAACCTGCTGCACTGGAGGGACTGAAGTATTCTCAGTCTGCTGGCCACAAAACTCCGATGAGTGGTGCAGGCCAAAGCACTTCATCAGGGTAATGGCAGCAGGATCCATGCTTATTCACATGTGCCAGCAGCCAGGGCAGTGCAGTGGGTTGTACGTGCATCAGCTGGGGTAGGGTACCTCTGAGAGTAGGGCTGCAGGGTTCCTGCATGCAGTTGCCCTGGTGGTGGGATGCAGGCAGGGGCAGAAGTGCCAGTGACAGTGGTCGCACTGGTGCTGGCAGTCATAGGGGCAGGAGGCTACCAGTCTTTGTGCATGAGTCTGCACAGGCAGCAGTGGTAGTGTAGGGGTGGGTAGAGTTGCCAGCATCCATGCATGCATTCACACCGACAGTTGTGCTGGCACTGGGAAGGCAGGGCTGTGGTTGTCTGTGTGCTGGTTTGCAGCAGCCACAGTGGCAGCACAGAGGTGGGGGCAGAGTTGCTGGTGTCTGTGTATGCATTTGTGCCAGTGATGGTGTTGGGGGGGGGCATGGGGCCATGCACACATTCACACTGGTGGCAGTGTCAGCAGGAGTGGCGGTGGGGTTGCTGGTGTCCATGCACTCTTTCACAACAGAAATGGCAGCACCAGGGGGAGGCAGGGCCACACGTTGCACTTATGCCAGCAGCAGCAGTGGGATATGTGCACATACAAGCCATTGGAGGAGAAAGAGGCAAGGTCCACCCACACGTGTGCACTGGCAAAGTGGTGGTGGGGTGGCCATGGACAAGTGCATGCTGGCAAGGTGGAGTTGGGGAGGCTGTGGTCAGGGGAGGGTGCAGGTGGGCTGATGCATGACAGTAGGAGTTGCTCTGCTGGAGCTCTCCAATGGTCAAGTGCCATCAGCCAGCAAAGCAGCTATGATATGGTCCCCGAGGAAGCACCCTGGTTGGGCATCTGAGGCTGAAACTCCAGCTAGCGTGGCCAGGCTGGAGCCTCAGGAGAGGCCAGCAGACAGGGGACCACTCAGATTGGACTGGTCCCATCTCATGGGTAAGACCCTTCTCCTCTGTCTAGGTCTCATGGTCACCCTACGGCCAAAGTCTCCTAGAGGAGCACGGCAAGGCTTGGGGGATTTGTATCCCTGGCCATGCTCGACTGCAGACATTTCTGCACCAAACCCTCTGGGCTCTGCCCAGAATGCAGCTCTATTCCTACTACCTCTCTAAGAAGCTCTTCCTGCCAGCCCAATGTCTATGAGGGTTGTGGAGTTTCCTGCTGCCTGGATTCCAAAGGTCCACGGCAGGGGCAGGCTGCCTGTTCAACCCCTTCCTCAGGAGTTCCTGGGGAGTCAAGAACGAGCATGGGTGCTTTGTAGCCCTGCGCAGGGTGTGCAGCTTCCTGACCCTTCAGCCCAGCATCTGCGTTCTCCCTGTGTCCATTCTTAATGTAGGGTTTTCTAGGTATGGAATCATATCGTCAGCAAAGAGAGACAGTTTGACTTCTTTTCCTTTTGGGATGTGTATCTCTTGCCCGATTCCTCTGGCTAGAACCTCCAACTTCTATTTCTTAAATATGATTTCTGCATACTAAAATGGTTTAAAAAAATTGGGCTGCTAAGTGTGAAAGTGTTAAATAGCAACTGTCATGAAATTAACAAAATTTAACAAAACTAAGGTGTTTCTAATATTAAAAAATAAATTTTCTATTTTTTTTAGTTTTTGGTTTGTGAGAGGACAAGTAATTTTTTATCTGATTCAGAACATGTCTTTGAAAGAAGAACTGTTTTGGAACATAACATAAAAATGTATCTCTCCATCTTATAAAAATTTAGTCTTTTTTGCCTAATAACTGACATTTAAGTTTTTTATTTTAGTTGCTGACTCAACACTTTATGCTTAAGTTAAAGGTGACCGTATGTTTTTAAATTTATTAAAGCAGATTTGAATTAGCTAAATAAGCCATTGGAGAAGCCAATATTAAATTTAAAACTTTATTGAAATACTCAGGGACAATATCTAAGCTCAATGCAAAATCTTCAGCTGGCTTGTAAATTACTATTTATAACAAAAAAGTGCTACAATACAGTTAATAGCACTACATTTTATAAACAACATCGTTTGTACTATCATATCATTTAACTCAATGTCTGCTCACTATTATACTTACGCATGATTATAATACATATAAACATGGGAGTTTTCCAGCATTAAGCAAAGCGCGATCAGAAATAATAAAAAATTCCTATACGTTCACCTTCAGTAGATTCCTATCATTTTCTTGTCATCATCAAAAGCAAAGTTAAGTGTTTTCAAGATGCTGGATTATTACTGTAATCCAAAAGAAACTCTATTCTTGTGCCATCTTCCCTTTTTACATAATTTTAGTTATGTTGGAATAAATTTAAAAAAAAAACAGAAAACGTAAAGCAAAATAATAAAAATTCTTTTCTAAAACACACTGAGGAAAATGCACCATTCATCTCAGGAACAGGGCCTTCCAGAACAAAGATTATTGAGGACCCTGTACCCCTAGGAAAAACTACTGGAGTCTCAATGGGCTTGAGGACGGGCAGGCACCACCAGGGAAGTGGGGAGGCCTGCAGAACTTGACTAATGACCATCCTCATGTGTGGATTCTGATTAGCTGCGCCCACCACCCCCAAATTAGAGTTACTGCTTTAAAATGGTCCTCCCAGAATGAAACAGAAAAAGTTCTGCCAGCTGCCATACACAAATAAGAATAATAATAAAATACATATGTATAATCCTTCCTTTGGCAGTAAAATAGCCAGGACTTGAATCAACAAGATCCGGAGGTTGTAATAACACCAAGAGAGAGAACACACAGAACTGAGCTCTGGGTAAGGGTGGAGCTCTGGTGTCAGGCTGCCTGGACATGAGTCGCAGCTCAGTCAGTGCCTGGCTGGGCCGGTTAAATTACTTAATCTTTCTGTGCACTGATATCCTCCGGCACAAAATGAGGATAATAAGAGCACCTACTGCATGTCGTCAGGATGAAAAGAGAGGAGCACAGAGGGCCCTTCGAGCTGTGTATGGCTCACAGTAAATGTTAACTCCTATGATTTTTTTTTTTTTTTTTTTTTGAGATGGAGTCTTGCTCTGTCACCCAGGCTGGAGTGCAGTGGCACGATCTCGGCTCACTGCAACCTCTGCCTCCCAGGTTCAAGCGATCTCCTGCCTCAGCCTCCTGAGTAGCTGGGATTAGAGGCGCGTGCCACCACGTCTCACTAATTTTTGTATTTTTAGTAGAGATGGGGTTTCACCATGTTGGTCAGGCTGGTCTTGAACTCCTGACTACGTACGTGATCTGCCCTCCTCGGCCTCCCAAAGTGCTGGGATTACAAGTGTGAGCCACCACACCCGGCCAACTCCTATGATTATTATGATGTCTGTACCGTTCAGTAACTCTGCAATCGGGGCAAATCTCCTCAGTTATGGGTACAAGTCGCCTCATCTGTAAAATGGGCAACAGTTATCTTTTATGACATTGAGTTGGTGGGAGATGGAAGCAGGATTGGGCCACTGAATCTCCTGAGGCCCATTTGAGTTCTGAGACATAGTTATTTAGCAGAAAAATTTTGCAATCAACACTGAGGAAACCCCGCCACAGAGCATGCTGGAGAGGGCACATGGTGTGCCATCACCGGGACAAATGACTCACAAATAACCATTAAGGTTCCAAATGTCATTAAATTTCAAATGTGGCCTGAAGTTGTTTAGGATGAGACCAATGCTTTCCTTGTCATTAACACTTCCATTTGTTCCCAGTCCTGAATTAAAGGTGTATATTAATTTATATAGCTCCAGATCTACTGTGAAGGTTTAGAAACCATTTTGGAAAAATGAAAGGTAAGAGAGAAGATAGGCAGTATAAACAATACTATTGTCAACTGTCTGAGGTGGATGGCTTCCCACTCACTTCTCATTAGGCATCCAATCTAATTTTTTAAATGCTGCTCCACCTATGTTTAAATACTTTTTTCTTAGTTTTTGGTACAACCAAAATCTCTCAGGGAAACCAGCCTAACTCCTAAGACCTGCTTCTTTGGGTTAAATGCCAGGGGCCTGAACATACCAGCTTCAAGTGTGGTGAAGTTCTGACCACTCCATTCAGTCCATTTCCAGAAGTGGCTGGCATCAGCACAGCGTACTCGGGCCATATATTCTGTGGCAGGTTCCAGTTCACTTAAGAAGTACTCACCGTTCACGTTGATAGAAACATCGTACTGCTTGATCAAAAAAGAGATGAAAGGAAAAAGGAGAAAAGAACAAGACAGAAGCATCGGTGAGTATATCCCAATTACAAAGGCGAACCAGGACACAGCAAATCCTGACCTGGAGGTCAGGATCGGTTCTTCTTTTGGGAGGAAAAAAATCTCCAAGGCCCATTTCCTAACCATAAAAGTCTACGATTAATTTCATGGACCTTTTCAAACAGATGACCCACACCATTTGAACCTACATAGAAATAAGAGTTTAAAGTGATTTTATTCATCAGTGTCTCTGTTCAGGACAAAAAGGAATTTTTGAAAGTAGAAAATTAAGCAGGGTTCTTACTTGCATCATTTTTCCTTCACCATGGAGTTCAATCTGACACAAATATGTGAAATTATTCCTCATGGAGTGCACCTTCCAGGTCATGATGGCGTTTGTGGCATTTACATTTTCAAAGTTGACACTAAAAGGATTCATTAAATAAACTGTCAAAAAAAGAAAAAGAAACAAAGAAAAAAATTCAAGCATAGATCCAAAAAGACATTGGTAATAGTTTATTTCTTCATTCATTTGCTCAACAAGTATTTTTTTGTTCACTTTTGAGAACATGACAAACAAGAACTTACAGAGAAGCTAGAATGAACCAACTACAGCCTTTCTCTCTCAGCGATTCGACTACACACATTGAACAAAATACAGAAAGAAACTACTTGAGGACTCTTAAAATTAAACACAAGTAGGCAAATTGGGAAGGGGAGTCAAAACTTGGAGAAGGTGGCCCACAGGGGAGAATTGTAACAGAACTCAGAGTCTAACCAAAATAACATTAACAATGTCAAGGATATAATCCAAAATATATAGAATGTGCTAGGAATGCAACATCTTTAGATGAGAGCGGGACTGGCCAGAACAGCCCAGGCTCTGTTCCAGTCCTCCCTAGAAACAGGATGTCCTTTAACACTTTAGTGCAGCAAGTCATGTGTTGTCAGGATATAAAATCCAGGATGGATGCTTCTGAGGTCTCTCAGCTATGGTGAAGAACAAGTGAAGAACTCAGACATAAGATTCTGTTTGCCCTGGGCAGCTCTCTGCAACCTTGTGGACCAGCAGCAATACATCCCAGGCTTGTGCTGTCCCTTGCTGCCCATCTGATGGTAATAAGTCCACTTCATGTAACTTGTTGTGTATGAGTGTATTCTGTCAAACTGGATTCGGACAGTTGACAACCAGTGTACAGAGAGCACCTGCTTCACAAAACTGGCACAGCAAGCAGGATTCAATTTGACAGAACAATGGCTCATTGGTGAAGTAGAAGGGGCAATACCCTATCTCATACCTGGTCCACGGCGGAGACATCAGACCAGCTAGATGTTTTATGAGGAAGAAGCAGTGATAAGAGAGACACAGGCCACACATACCCCCCGAGAATGTGGGTGAGGTGGCGCATGGATTGTGGCAGAGGAAAGAAGCATGGAAACAGGGGAGCTTAGTGCACATATGTGATTGCTCCTTCCTGGGTATTTAGATGCATCTGAAGGTATCTGAGAGGGAATTAAAAAGAGGTCCTCTGATGGTCCTTGAGACATCTGAGAGGGAACCAGCATGCACAATGCAGGCTTTCACAGAGAAGGAGACTCAAGATCCAAAGGACACATATAGACATAAGCAGTAAGCTCTCAAGCAACCTGGTTGGTGTGTTTGTTGGATAAAGGGACACTGCGGACCCAAATGGTGCAGTTGGGGTTGCGGCCAAAGTCTCTAGGTGCCTACCGAAGGCCACTGGCCTAATACTCTTGTTAAGAGAAAAGAGAAAAAGAAGAAAATTTAGACTTTTCTGGGGTTCTTGGATCCTGGAGCCCACATGACAATATTTCCTTGTTCTTTTAGGTGAAAAATTAAACTGGCAACATTGGGAGGTTTTTAGACAGACATAGTGACCCCCAAGATGCTTATCTGGTTGTGGGCAGGGCCCATTGGGCCACTTCAGGTGCCAGTAACTATGGTTCCTACCACTCAGTGCATCACAGGCATTGGCATTTTGGCTGCTTGGGGCACAGAAGGCCACCTCCATCTGAAGGGGTATGTTCCCCCAACACAGCTAAGAATTTGAGCCATCACAGTGGGGCATATCCACTTCTGCCTGCCACCTAAGCTCCCCAAGTTCCAATGGCTTATTCAACAAAAGTACTACTATTATACATACTGAGTGGAGAATAGGACAGTACTTGTTAATCGAGTTAACCCTCAAAAGCCACAACCATGCACAAAAGTCAACACAACCTTACACACAAAAAGTACTTCTACAAGGACATCTGTCCAGCAACTGGATTATATGTTATATATGTTATAAACCACCCTCTCACAATATAACAGCCCAGTTTGGCTGGTCACAAAAGGCTCCCCAGGGCATGGAGACTAACCATGGACTATCACAGGCTAAATGCCAAGGCCACTTAAGCTGAACACCAAAGAAGAATCCCTGATATAGCAAACAAAAGTGTTGCCCCTTGTGGCATCCTCTAATAAAAATGAGACCCAGCAGCTGGTAGGTCTCTTTGAGTACTGGAGACCACATATACCCAACCTGAGTGTCCTTTTGCTCTCCTCAGTCAAGGTGACCGGCAAACCCACCAATTTTAAATGAAGTCCTTTGCAACAACAGGCCTTGGAAGCCCTTCAGCAAGCTGTGGTCCAGGCACTGCTTTTAGAACCCTTAATCCCTGTTAGCTCAATAAAATTACAGATGTCCAAAACCTCCATGCATGCTGATTGGAGTCTCTGGAAAGAAAAAACCACCACCGGGATGTACCAGCCTCTCACATTTTGGATACAAAAGTTGCTTGAAGCAGCCCCCAGATACACCCCTTTTAAACAGCAACTCCTTGCTTGCTACTAGGCACTAGTCTCTGGACACTGAGCATCTTATGGCCAGAGCACCACACATGACACTACAACATGAAATGCCCATTCTTACTTGGGTTCATGCAAACTCCACCAATCAAATTAGACAGGCTCAACAGAGCTCAATTATTAAATGAAACTGGCACATTTAACATCATGTCCACCCAGGCCCCACGGGACCAGTAGGTTCCATGAACAAAGGGCTAGCTAACGAAAAGTGACCAAGTAACCTGTTGAGGATGTTTTGGCTCCTCCTATGGACTAAAAAATATGCCTACCAATGGTCTGGCATGGTTTACTAACAGTTCTGCCAAACTAAAAGCAGATGGGTTTCATTGGGCTGCCACCACCATCTGGCCAATAGATAGCCAACTTTTGACAGAGACTGGACATGGACATTCTATCCAATAGGCCAAATTACATGCAGTGGCAATGGCCATGCCAGCCACCTTTCTCACCATATCTTGCTGTATTTTCACAGACTCATGGGCCATTGCCAATAGCCTACCCACGTTGTCAGAAGAAAAACAACTGAGTGACTGGACTGATTAAGGAATCCCCTGTGTGGGACAAGAATTATGGCAAGAGCTTGCAACATAAAAGTTGTCAGAATCAAAATGGGGTCATTTGTGTTAAAAAACAAAATCCTGAAAAATGAAGCCAGGTAAGGTCATACAGGAAGGGCTCTCTTACACCAATACCTGAAAACAAAACTACCCTGAAACAACCTGTAAAAGCCACAACCATGCACAAAGGTCAACACAACCTTATACAAAAAAATACTTCTACAAGGATATCTGTCCAGCAACAGGATTATCCAACCTCACACTGACACCACCCTTGTTATTGATCCTTGTAGTCAAAAATAATTATCTGAAAACATTAAGTAATCCTTCTCATTTTTTCTTTAAAAACCTTTGTCTCTGTTTACCTTCCTGAGTGTACACATAGTCTTCTATGGCACATGTATTCCCATTGCAATGCCTATTCCTGAATAAATATCATTTTCTTTTAGAGTCTCCCTCTCTGTTATTTAGATTGGCATACTGGTATCTCAGAAGCAAGACTAAGATGGCTAAAGAAAAGGCTCCATCGATTGTCCCACCTGCGGGATCACCAGATTTAACAATTATATGAAAAAAGCACTTTCATAAGACTGAAAAATCAAGTAGGCACTCACAGTACCTGGCTTCAACATCGTATCACTGGAAGAGGCACTGAAAAGGTGAAGAAAGATATTCTTAAATCACTGATGCCACCCCTCCCCTATTCCCTGGCAGCAGCCCTGTGTCATGGACAGAACCTCTGTGCACTTAGGACAGGGAGAGCTCAGTGATTGAGAGACTTTGCATGGAATTCAGTGCTGCCCAGTCACTGGCAAAGCAAGCAAAACTGGGTTGAACTCAGCTGATGTCCGCCTACAGAGGGAGCATTCATATGAGCCCTAGCCAGACAGGAATCACCCATCCCAGCAGTCAGAACCCAATGGTTCTGTCAAGGCTCACCACTGTAGGCTAAAGTGCTCTGAGGCCCTAAATAAACTAGAAAGTCAGTCTAGGCAACAAGAACTGCAATTCTTAGGTGAATCATAGTGTTGAGCCAGGCTTAGAGCAAGCAGACTTCGGGGAAAGATGACCTACTGAGACACTAGCTGGGAAGGCTAAGGGAGTGTTTGTGCCACCCCTGCTCCAACCCCAGGCAGCACAGCTCATGGCTCCAAAAGAAACCCTTTCCTTCCACATGAGGAGAGGAGAGGGAGGAGTCAAGAGGACTTTGTCTTGCATCTCGGATACCAGCTCATCCAAAGTAGGACAGGGCACCAGTCAGAGTCATGAGGCCCCCACTCCAGGCCCTATCTCTCAGATCACATTTCTGAAGACACACCCTGGGCCAGAAGAGAACCTGTTGCCTTGAAGGGAAGTACCCCATCCAAGCAGGACCCATAACCTGCTGCCTAAAGAGCTCTTGGGCGCTGAATAACCAGGAGCAATACCCAGGTAGTACACCATGGGCCCTGGGTGAAACTCTGAGACTTGCTGGCTTCAGGTGAGACCCACTATCATGCCTGCAGTGAGAGACACCCTCTGCCTGAGAAAAGTAAAAGGGATTTTGTCTTGCACCTGAGGTACCAATTGGACACAGGGGAGTAGAACACCAAGTGGGCTCTTGGGGTCTCTGATTCCAGGCCTTGGCTCTTGGCTGGCATTTCTGGATCTGACCTGGTGCACAGAGGAGCCCACTGCCCTAAAAGGCGAATCCCAGACCTGGCAGCATTCACCACAAGCTGACTAAAGAGTCCTTGGGCCTCAGGCCAGGCGCGGTGGCTCACGCCTATAATCCTAGCACTTTGGGAGGCCAAGGGGGTAGATCATGAGGTTGGGAGTTCAACACCAGCCTGGCCAACATGGTGAAAGCCCGTCTCTACTAGAAATACAAAAATTAGCCAGGCATGGTGGCAGGTGCCTGCAATTCCAGCTATCCAGGAGGCTGAGGCAGAGAATTGCTTGAACCTGGGAGGCAGAGGTTGCAGTGAGCCAAAATCACACCACTGCACTCCAGCCTGGGAGACAGAGCGAGTGAGACT